AACTCGCAACTTGCCACAGTCGTCATTTCTAGAGACCATCCTACCATCAATTCTGGTAATCCTGGGTCTTTTCTTGGCCATAAAGATGCCATTTTCTAGCCGCTCTGACAGCACAATACACCAAAAAAAAAAGAAAAGAAATTCAAACAATAATAGTAAGGAAAAAGGGCCAAAATGGAATCAAAAATCAAACTTTCATGCATGAACAAAGTTATGTTTTTCGACCCCTCCAGGTTCCGATAGAGGTGGTGATAGTGGTCATCGAAGAGGTGAATGTTCTCTTTCCTTCCGTCCAAAATGACCGAAAACATACCTCAAACACTCAAAAACATAAAAACTGAATGCAAGTTTGAAAATTTTTGATCGGACCTTCAAGTGCTTGAAGATGGTGATGTTCATAGGAAAACAAAATTATTTTTCCTCCATCCCAATAGACCAAAATTCATAAAATAAATAATCAGATCAAAAACAAATTAAACAAGTCAAAAGAGATGCTCTCATGACGGTGAAAATGATTTTCAGAATAGAAAATTGAGCAAATCTAATGAGCGTCATAAAAGAGTAAGGCAAGGTGAATAAGGAAATCAAGCTCTGATGCCACGTATAAGACAGATTCAAAAAATTATATATAAAAATGTATATAATCCAGATGATGCAAAAATGAATCTTCTTATAAGAATAGAATGAAAGACTTTAGGTTTAAAGTTATCTCTTGGCATAGCTATTACTTCACTGATTTGGGATCTGAAATAGGATATGAGAACTGCAAAACAGACTTGGAGTCAGAAGAAAATAATTATTTAGGTATCTTCTAACTGGTAGAAAGGCATAATGATGGCAACTGGGATAAGTTGTCGCTAGTCAGGGAGTCTCAAGGAGCAGATAGGGTTTTTCTCTCTCTAAATGTATCACTCTAAAATTTTCAGCCATCAAAACCTAAAATGTAAATTCTCACCATCAGAGTAAATACAATATTGACTGAAAATAATAACCCAACTGGGCTTGGGCCTTATCTAACCACGGGCCACATTCAGGACATTTTATTAATTCCTAATTAAATACCTAAATAGTTTATTATAATAATAAAATATCTCACAAAGAACTACTTGCAAGTAGCTACCAGAGCTTTTCTAGGAGGAAGGGAAGGTCTTCTGCCATGAAGCAAAGCCATGTTATCTAGGAACAGAACATCTCCTTTCCGCCACTTGAACTGTATGCTTGCTTCTTCAATGATCTCTCCGCATCTCTCCACCACATGGCTAGGAATCTCAGTTCCATCTGCCATTGTTGCCGAGCTTAGCTCCTTGTCGTACATGCCTACCACTGTGTTAAACTACATCCTCCTTCCTTTCCTTCCCTCGAACATCCTCATCAATGGCCTTGGCCCTAGTATCATCTTCACTCCATCATTTGGTAGCCACTCCATGTCCATCCCTAGAGCTTTTGCCCCGCAACAATTTCATCAACAAGACAAGTATATGGTTTATAAGTGTAAAGGGTCTCTTTGCAAACAGACTAGTCTTTTGGAATAGACTCTCTTTTTGATGGAATTGTACCTTCTTTCAGCTTCCTCACGATCCTAGGTGCCAAAGGCATCTTCCCATCCTCTGCCTCTCATAGAGGAATTGTCATTTTGAGTACTACGGGCTGTGAATGAGCACTTCAACCCTTTATCTTCCATTTCCTTAACCTCTTCTGGGAACTCCTTCAACATCTTCTCTGTCACTTTGAAGCTTGGAACAAATGGTGTCTCTCCTCCTTCTAAGGGTGGTATCTCGCAGAAAAGCATCACTTTCTTGGGACTCTCCGTTATATAAATATATATCATTCCAAAAACACACAAGATAGAACCATGCGGTTTAGGCTAAATTTTGTTGCAGTGATGGAATCAGAAAAGAAAAACTCTTAACTCATTCTATATATAGTCTTATGGCTATGATTATTAAGGGAAGAGTAATATGTGTGTGTGTGTGACGTACCAAAATCATTTCATGGTGATAGTATATGACTTCTGAGAGGGGTCTTTCATTAACTTTGTCTTTTGGCTTTGCGAGACAAAGTAACAACAACGAGAGTAAAGGAACAAGGAAAAGCAAAAAAGCTGAAAATTGGCATTCCATAAGGATTAATTACCTTCAAATGTGAACTTGAAATTGATACGTGTTCAAACTATATATCTACGACTGTGCATGTGTGTATGTGTGTGTATCTTTGTGTAGAATGGAGATATTCAGACAAGAGAAGAATTTTAGTGAAATGCGGGGCCGGGTGGGGAGACTTTTATTACAAAGACACCAGAACAGGAAACCTATCAGATACAAGAAAGGAAGAGACGATTTTGAAAGGTGAGAAAGTGGCACTTGGTCAAAAATGGTTGTCAATAGTAAATGATTTTAGAAGGAAATCATTGAAGATAACATTAAGATTTTGAATAAGAGGTTGAACTGATTTCATTGATTTTGTTTATAGAGATTTTAATATTACTGCAAGTTACTCCCTGCAGTTCACAAAACGACAATTCTTGTGGGATATTTGTTCTACTCCCTCTGGTCCATAATATAAAATGCAAGTTAGAAAAAAATTGTGATCCAAAATATAAGACAATGTCAAGGTAATTAATATGATTTTTTTTTTTACTTTCAAACCTATTAAATATATGAGGGACAGACGAGAGATAATAAAAGTATAACATTAAAGGCAACTTTATCATTTTTAGAAATAAAATAGGAAAATTATATCATTTTAGGATAAATTTAATGATTAAACTTTTATTTTTTGATATATGAGAAAAGTTACCTAACTTATTATATTATGGACCGGATGGAGTATGAGAATTGTCCTATTAGACATCTTTGTTCTGTGCATGCAAAAATATATGCAGATCGAATTTGGTCTTTCGTGTTTGGATATGACATGGTAGGCGTGTTGGAGACTGGAGAGTTGTTACTGATCTGGATTATCTTTTTGTCTTCTCTGGCTGCCTGATTAAACTATCACTTTGAGCCAACATAGGCAGGTGAAAATATTTTTTAAGAAAATAATCATGAGAAAATCCCAAACAAATACTTCTAAAATTTCAAAATCTCAAATGAAGAATAACTACAAAAATGCTTTATCATTACCTTTTCAAATATTATCAATTGTTATTAAAGTGCAGTTAACAAGAATGATTTAAAATTTTAAAATTTAGAGGTATTTTTTTAGAATTCTCTTAATAATTATTGTGCTCTTAGGTCTTTATAGGACAAATATCTTGCCCAAAACTAATTCTTTTTTTAACCAATTTTATCCTTGCTAATTAATGCTTAAATATGACTCTATATGTGTTCCCTAATCTGCAATTCGCTTTGTAATTTGCAGGTAGCATTTCCTAATATGCAATAACCTATGGTAAGACTTCCATAATAACATGCAATTAGCTTTCGTAAAGTCCAAGTAATTAACTCCCAGTTATGCAATTTCCTTTTGTAATATGCAATATGAACCAATATATACCTTCTCCAAGATGCAATTAACTTCTATAATATGTAAATGGACTTTCCTAATATGCAGTTATCTTCCCTAGGGTCAAACTAATAATTTCATATGCTCATTTATTACCCCTAAAGAGTGTCAATCCTTAACCTGATCCTACAGTCCATTCCCCATTTTATTTGTCAATAAGGGATTGATTCCAAATTTTCTCAAAGTTGTGTTCTTTAATTTAAGGCATATTTAATTAGTTGACTTTTATTTTTAGTTCCGTGAATTAGTTGGAAGTGACTTATATCATAGATAAGAGAAAGTACTTCTCCGATCCATTTATAAAGTATTCCCAATATGTTTTACCAAAAACAAGAAGAGCCCTAATTTTCATTAACTATGTTTTAAAATATAATAATTTTTTAATTTTATCTATGTTTAATATATATATATACACTTTTCAAGAAAATAGTAGTTTATAGAACAATAAATTAGGGATAAATTGTACATTTATGTAACGGGGTGACTTATATTAAAGACAAAAATAAATATCTCTACTGTGTAAATAAAACCCCAAAGCCATAGGAATAGCATTCAGCTAGGAGCCTAGGATGAATCGCGTAATTAATTACGTTTTTTTTTTAACCAACTAATTATGCTTTTTTGTAAACAAATTTAATGATGATCGATGTTTTTTCATTTTCATTTTTGACTATCTTCCACCTCTCATTTAGTAGGTGATGAATTATAAAAGATGATTATTACTATTATTTTTCTTTCTGCTTTGGTTGAACTTTGTATTGCTCAGCTTCCTGAATGAAGTTTAAATTTTATTTGAAAAAACAACGAATGATTTGCACGCCATATTTTTCTAGTCACTTTAAAATCTCAATCCCGATATTTCGTTTAAAATATAGGTAATCTTTTATAAGACAACCATACATTACTTTTTTTTTTTGCCAACAAGTTTGTTATGTTTAACTATTGATAATAACATCCTTAATTCTGAATACGCCGAAAGGTACGATAGGTGAAAATTCTCTATTCAGCACAACACAGTCAACAAAAACTAAATAAGGTAAAATCATATTTCTCCTATGTATAACACAGAAAAGATTTTTTTTTTTAATTTTATTTATAAGTCAGATCATTAAATTTTTAATATAAATATACCATTTTACCTTTTATTTATTATTATAATGTAAATTGTAATTTTTTTAAAAAAAGTGTATATATTAAAATAGAGATAAAATTAGAAAGCCATTAATTTTAAAGCAAAGTTAATTAGATTTAATATTTTTTTATTTCTGATGAAACATATCAAAAGTGACTAATAAATACAAACAGAAAGATATGCAAATTTTCAATTTCCCTATCAAAACAATTTGAATATGCGGTTTTGTACGAGAGTGAAAAATCAAACCCCACTTTGAAAAGAACAAAGTGTTGTCTAGATCCAATGCACGAAGAGAACAAAAATTCAAACGATGGTATGGAATTTCAAAATGCATCCACCAATCCAGAGCAAGAACTGCACATTCAAAACAAACAACACACAAATACAACAATCATATATGCTATTTTATCACGCAGCAATTTACAGAAATCACAGTCGTCTTAATAAAGCCTTAAATTATAGTCAAATAACAAAAGTTCGAAAATACATCATGAAATTTAATTGTACAAGTAAATAAACAGATAGATAGAAACGTAAGGTGGGTATACTTCAGTCAAGAAGAGTAGCAATTTTTGTATGGTGTGGGAATCAAACACAGATTGCTCTTCCTTCTAGCTGCAAGACCAACGGTTTCCGTCATGTCTAAATCTTTTGGTTCCATTCCATTTGGGAGTTCCCAATCAAAGTGGTACAGCATGCTAGCTAGAGGAAGCTCAATACTTGCCAAACCAAATAAAATCCCTGGACACATTCTCCTTCCTGCTCCAAAAGGGATGAACTCAAAGTTTGTTCCTTTGAAGTCAATATCAGACTTGCCTGATTGGAACCTCTCTGGTATGAAACTCTCAGCATCATACCAGTAATTCGGATCTCTTCCGAGTGCCCATGCATTTATTATTACTTGAGTTTGGATGGGTATTTCATATCCCTTAATCTCACAAGTTTCTCTGCATTCTCTTGGGAGCAACAATGGAACTGGCGGGTGTAACCTCAATGTTTCTTTTATTACTGATTTTAAGTAACTCAGTTGTGACATTTCACTATTATCATCAATTACTTTCTTTCCCTTAAAAGCATTTCTAACCTCATTTTGTGCCTTTTCCATCACTCTTGGATTTCTCATCATTTCTGACATAGCCCACTCTAATAGTGACGCTGAAGTATCGGTTCCACCACTAAACATATCCTACAATAAGGATAAGCACAAAGTGATGATCATTAGCGTTATCAAACCCATATGTAAAGAAAAAAGAACTTGAGACTCCAATAAATACAGGAGTGAAGAAAAGGGTAAGATATTTAGGCATAAAAGATAAGTTTTAAACATAGTTTTTGGTCCTCTAGTTAGTATATATGTATTAGCTTTTTTTTTTTTTTGCCTAAAAATCACACAAACATGATTTCTTTCAATCTAGGATATATCCTAATGTTATATATATAAACCAACATATAGGTAAGAAGTGCTAACCCATATAACAGCCTTAACGTTTGTGGTTGTAAGTGGGACATCAAGGCTTTCACTTCTCTGGATCCCCAAAAGAACTTGAAGCAGATTTTCTTCTGCCAAATTACAATCATCGCCTCCTTCTGATTTCATAAGCTTCCTTAGATTCTCCTGGAGAATATCTTCTAAAATCTTGTCTACTTTCTCATGAATCTTCCCCAACCTTGCTTCCGTTCCAGTCATGAGACAGATAAGCTTATTTGAAGGAAACAAATCAGCAAAGTGAAACTCACCCAAGTGTTTCGATACGGCATGGAGCAACTGAACGAGTTCTACACCATCTTTAGGATTGTCGCCAATCACTACCCTCAAAACTATAGAACTAGTCAAATAGTAAATCTTGCTCGTGAGATCGAATACCGAACCTATTGACGATTGAACTGACTCCATGAGCTTAGATACCTGATGAAGTAACAAGGAAGACGATGATTAAAATTTATTATCAACATTACAGAAAAGCATATCCCTCTGGTGATCATACAAGAATATTCAAGTAGGAATGGTAATCTTGTTAAGGATTCATTTTGAAATGTTTTAGCTTTTCAAAGATCATCAGGACCATTTCACCTAAAGTACTTTAGACAGTAGGAAAAATAATAGATCGGTCTAGAATGACAAACATGGGAGTTTATTAGCCATAGTTGATTTTTTTCATGCGATGCCAAAGTATTCAAAGTGCTTCATATCAAATCAATACCTCATCTTGTCGTACATGGGAGAATGACTGAACCTTCTGGGAACTTAAGAGCTTTAGAGTAGATATTTTCCTCATCTGTCTCCAATAATTGCCGTACGGAGCAAAAGCAATATCTGCTGATCCATAAGAAACAATCTTAGCACTAGAAGTACATGGCCTCTGCGCGAAGGCAAGATCATGGGTCTTCATGATCTCTTTGGCCATGTCAGGGGATGATATTATCACTGTAGAAAGTTCACCCAGTTGAAGGTGCATGAGAGGTCCGTGTTTCAGGGATAGTTCATGAAGAGCATGGTGTTGAAGTGACGAGCTTGCTGCTGCTAACTGATGAAGGTTTCCCAACACAGGAAGCTTCCATGGCCCTGGGATTTGGATCTTAGCTCTATTTTTTGGCTTTGCGAGCCGAAGTAACAACAAGAAGAGTAAAGGAATAAGAAAAAGCAAGGAAGCTGGTGATTGGCATTCCATAATGAATTCAAAAAATGTTAACTTGTATAAATTGATACGTGTTCAAACCATATTTCTGTGTGTGGCAGCACCAAAACGTCTTGTGTGACTTAAATGGAAAGAGCGTTGAAGCTTATATAAGGAAGGTGCTCAAAATTGGGTCGATAAATGAACACCTCTCACACAGTGATTTATGGGTCAATAGCTCAAATTACGTTAAAATAATATTTAAATGAAAAAAGACATTAATCCATATATTCATATATAAATCATATATAATTTAACAAAATAAATTTATTAAAGCACAAATTTGATGGAATTTTTTTAAAAAAAATTTAAAACCCAAAAAACGATGTTGTTTTAGAGTCAATAAAGGACGAAAAAATATATAGAATTCATTAATTCAACTTGATTAACTCATTCAAAACCCTTGGTCAGATCAACTTAACCAAGGGACTGGTTCCCCTATTCGGTGCCCTAAGTCGTTGACCTGGTTGACTTGGATTAAATTTTAACACAATACTACCTCTTGTCCTTAATATAAGATCCTGTTTGATTTTTATTTTAGTTCTAAATATAAGACCACAATCCACTTTGTCTATCATATTTATATATATTTTTTCAGAGTAGCCCTTCTAATAATAATAGTTTTAGTCAATACCTTTGATTAGTAAGGATATTTTAAGAAACACAACACCTATTTAGAAAAAATAACCGACTTACTTAATCTCCTCAAATTAGTCAACTGGCTCTTGTAATTAGGACCGGAGGTAGTATATAAAATATAAGTGCGGATCACAATGGCGCGTGGATAAAAATATCCGACGAAACAGGATAACCATTAACGAGATATTTTGATCCTCTAGGCTCTTGCAATTGGGCTAGAACCGCTTGGTTTGGGAGCGTCTTGGGTCTTATTATCACCCCTCTGAATATACAAAGCATTTCCTTTTGGCTTGAGCACTTCCTGCTAAAAAGTGACGCTGACTTTGACTATGGGAAAGCTTACATTGCATCTATGCTCTGGTCTATTTGGATCTTGCGGAATAAATATATTTTCGACCAGATTATCCCGAGGCCTGAGGATGCAATTGAGATGACTAAACGGACCATGATGGAGTATTGGGATGCAAATTCTCTTTTCACTACAGCACCTAGCAATGTGGAATCTAAAACTTATTTCAAGTGGAGGAAACCACAGGAAAATTCCTTCAAGATTAACTGTGACGGTGCTTTCTGCAAATCTAGTGGTAAAGCTGGTATTGGATTGATTTGTAGAAATTCTGAGGGATTATTTTCAAAAGGATGGGCTGAAAAGGTAAATGTTACCTCTGCTTTTCATGCTGAAATCCTTGCTGTCCATAAAGCGGTTGTCCTAGCCGAGCACTGGCAATGTTTTCCAGTTGTCATTGAGATGGATTGTAAAGTACTCTTTGATGCGTTAATTCAAAAATCTTTTCGATGCTGCCCATGGCTTCTGCATGGTTTACTTGCTGAAATCTTTGAATTGGTGAATGATCGAAGCTCCTATTCCTTTTCTCTCATTCCTCGTGAGGGAAATGATGCTGCCGATCTGTTGGCTGCCTTAGCTTCAAGGGAGTTGGGACCTAACGGTCTGATTCTGGAATCTCCACCTCCTCTAGCTACTATCGTCCTTCGTGAAGCCACCTTTGTTGAAGATTGCAGTTTTGACCAGCGTATTTCTGAGGCTGATAGGGAAGGTGTCGGCTAATTCCGTCACCTTTTGCTTTTTGTGGGCCTGTGTTGCTGCCCTTTGATCTCTGTTGTTTTGTATAAACTCTTGTTTCAGTCTCTTTAGTAATCTAATTATGCTTTCCTGGTCAAAAAAAATAATTAAAATGGACTTTTGGACTGAAGCGACCCGTTCATTTTATGGTCTTAATTATTGAGGGTCTAATTAATGGGGCCCACAAATCGTCAAAATGCTGACCGACATTTTATCTACAAATGCCCCACTAAGGCTGCTACCACGAAATGGTGCGCATTTAGATTTGGGACTCCACAAAAGTCAACACAGCTACGCGCCAAAGAAATATTTCTCTCCTTCTATTTATAAAAGAGAGAGAGGAAAATTTTTTTTGGGTAGATAGAGAAATTTTTTTTTATATAAATATACAATTTTATTTTTTATTTATTATTGTGTTAATTTTGTTCTTACAAGATATAATGTATATTAAATAAAATAAAATAAAAAAAGTATTGAATTTTAATTTAGAGTTAATAAAATTTAAGATTTTTTTTTAGTTTGTACTACCTCCGATCCTAATTATAAGAGCTAGTTAACTAATTTGAGGGGATTAAGAAAAAAAGTTAAGTTAGTTATTTGTAATAAATAAGTATTGTTTTCCCTAAAATGTCCTTATTAATCAAATGTATTGGTTAGAATTATTATTGTTAGAAGGATTACTTTAGAAAAAAAATATAAATATAAGAGACCAAGTGGATTGAGATCTTACATTTATAACCAAAATAAAATTCAAACAAGGTCTTATATTAAGAATCAGAGATAGTATAAAATATGTTAGATGTGACTTATAAACAGAACAAAAAAAGTGTATTTCTTATCTCCTAATCAATAATATTACATACTATTACATTCAGTCCTTAATATAAGAGCTAATTTGATTTTTTATTTGATTCTAAATATAAGACTCCAATCCGTCACTTTGTCTCTCATTTATTCATCTTTTTCAAATATAATTCTTGTAGTAGATGCACATGTTAAAAGTTTCGGTAGATGTTAAAGCTAATATATTTGATTAGTAAGAGTATTTGAGAAAAAAAATATCTATTTATTATAAATAACTAATTTAATAAAAAAATTTAATCTAATTAAATTAGCCATCTGGCTTTTATGCTAAGGATATACCCACTCATCCTATTTTGGCAAGAGCCGGTCAATTATGGGGAGGATGATACCTTTTTCGTAACATAAGTTTGGCAATTCTAAAAAGAAATAGAAGATGTGCGTCTGTTGGCCCAAATGTGTGTCTAAATTGTTCTTAAGAAAAAAGATGTGTATAAAGATATCCCTAATACTACTTCCGGTTCTTTATATAAGACATTATTTGATTTTTATTTTGATCCTAAATATAAGATCCCAATCCACTTTGTCTCTCATATTTATGTATTTTTTTTCCAATGTAATCTCTCTAACAATGATAATTCTATCCAATACACTTGATTAGCAAGGATATTTTAGGAAAAACAATACCTATTTATTACAAATAACTAACTTAACTTCTTTCCTTAATATTCTCAAATTAGTCAGCTAGTCTTATAATTAGGATTGGAAGTAGTAAATGATAAATAAAACCATCATACCAGTAAAATGGAATTCATTTGGAGTTGTGTGAATCATTACATTTAATTTACAGAAGAATTGGTTGGCAGAAAAATTAAGAGAATAATTGAAATAGTACAACTAATAATTTTTACTTTCTTAATATCCGTAAATTTCAAAACCTGCTATTATAATTAAGGGCGCATGTAATTAGTTACATACTTACATCTATTTTATTAATTAAATCAACTATGAGGGGCCATCTGCCAGGTTTGTGAAGTGACCTTGGCATTTGAAAAAACGCACTCATTAATTTTCGGTCACATTATATATAGTATTATGCTCTCCCTAACTATATTCATTAGTTGAATCAATACTGCTTTTTTTTCTTTGCTAACATTTTTTTTGGGGAAAATCCCAATAAAATCTGATCAAAATATCTAAATTTAATTAAGGTCTATATTTTTAACAAATTCATAATTAGAACATAGTCCAAATTTTTTCTGAATGTTGTTAAATGGTTAGAATGCTTTTTTAAATTAAAAGAAAAATTAATTATTTAATTCTCTCAAATGATCTCTCACTTTTTATGATTATTTTTAAGACTAAAAAACACATAAAATAATATAATTTATCTTTGTTTTATTTATTTAAGTCAACGCTGAATTCTAACACAAAAACATAATTTGCAACAACTTAATATAAAATATTTTTTATAGTTAAGGTAGTTTAACATCTTAAAAATAAATATTTACTATCTAAAAATACAAAATATTTATTTAAAGGGTACTTACATTTTGTTCGATTAAAATATTTTGAATTTTGATTATACATACAAATTTTAAATATTATAAAATTATTTATGTATTTTTAGTTTAAAAAAAATTATAAGAGGAGACAAAGAACTGCTTGGGAGGGGTAAAATTTATCTTTTAATTAAAGAGGGGCATTCTTTTTTTTTTTGATATGCTGGGAGGAATAAAGAGGGGCATTCTGTAACATCCTGAGTTTTATCGGGTTTTAATAGCCTCTTTTGGGTTGATTTTGAGGATAGATTAGTGATTTAATCTTGATCTTGGTGTTTGGGTTAGATTTGAGGTTTGTTGGAGGAATAGGTGAACGTACCCCTCTCAGGGTATGTTCTTCGCCGCGGCGCACCGGGAGTTTCAGAGGGGAATGTCTTCTCGGGAAGGTTTGGCTGCGGCGAAGTCTAGGGGACGCCGCGGCGAAGTTGTTCGAGTGAGCGAGGCTTCCCTTTCGGGAAGGTTTCGCCGCGGCGAAGGTAGGGGTATGCCGCGACGAATGTTTTCTGGGCGAGCGAGAGTTTCCTCTCCGGAAGCTTTCGCTGCGGCGAAGATTGGGGTTCGCCGCGGCGAAGTCAGGTTTTCAGGCGAGTAATCCCTCTCGGGATTGGTTCGCTGCGGCAAAGATGGAGTTCGCCGCGGCGAAAGGTCGCGAATCTATATATTCGCGGGAGCAGTTCAGCGTGCGAAAAATAAGAAAATCTGAGGTAGAGAGAGAGGCTCTGCTAGGGTTTCGGTATTTTGGCTTGGAGGGGGCATTTCTAAGGATCCATTACCTCAAGTAAGTGATTTTAACCTCTAATCTTCTTTCTTTATTGGAATTTCTTGGAATTTCTGAGGTTTTTTAGTGAACCCTAGGATTTTCTAAGTTGTGATGGAATTGAGGTTTTTGACCGATTGTTTTGAGTTTAATTGATTGCATTGGGTTAGTTTAAGTATTTAATCGGTGTAGTTTCCTTGGATTTAAAGAATCTTGATTTTTTTGGAGCTAGGGTTTATGGAATTGGATGATTTGGGATTGAGGATGACAATGTAGAGATTGATTGTGGGTTTTGTGAATTGGGTTATGTTAAGGAGGGTTAAATTGGATGTTTAATCGGTTTAGAATTGTTGTTGGAACCTTAATTGCTCAAATGGGATGTTTGGTGTAGAATTCCATAGTGGGTCCTTGAGGTTGTGAATCTTAATTGATGTTTGGAAAGGAATTAAGGTGTTAATGGATTGGTATGACTTTGGAGTGTTGCCTTGATAGATATACCCTTTGAGTTTGGTAGAGTTTTGATGGGAGATAGGAATTTTGTGTCCCCAAGTGTTGTGTTGACCACATTATTAGTTTGAAAGCTAATATATGATGGTTGTGTGTTTGTGTGCTTGTGTAGACCGGTTGTGAGTCTTGGTGGTGCACGGGGCCACATCGTTGGTTTGTTGTTCCTTGCTCAGGCGAGAGGTAACCACTTTCCAATCCTTAGTACTTGCTTCTGTGGTATTGTGAGTAGATTTGTGTTTTGTGCTTTAAGTAGTAATTATGTTCGAACTGTATGTTGTATATAAAAAGGGAAAACCGTCTTGTGGGGTTTTAATTGATGATGAATGAAATCTTGAAATTGTGAAGGATATGTCACTGAATGAGGTTAATTGTGAAATGATTATTACTCTTTGATTATGATTTGAGTATGATGCATTAATTGGGAATTGGTGAGAGTTTTGTCTGTTACTACCACGTGGTAAGGCCTCCATTAATGCATGATGGTTGGCTTAGTACGTCCCCCATAGTGAGGGATAGGCCTTTTGGCTCCCTATGTCCCCCAGAGTGAGGGATAGGCCTTTTATGGCTCCTTACGTCCCTCATAGTGAGGGATAGGCCGGCTTCGACTCCTGAAAATCCCCCAAAGTGAGGGATTTGGTTGATGGGATTGCATCATTGCACTTACATGAATTGTTGTGGCTATCGTTTTATATTGTTTGTGAACTGTCCCACTTGACACCTCATGAGCACCTATTTAGTAGTACCTAGTATTGGAAGGTTGGTTACTGGGATTTAGTCTCACCCCGTGGTTTACAATGTTTTCAGGTGAAGGTTCCGGGCGTGGGCCATCGGGAAGAGACGCAGAGGCTTGAGCTCAGTTAGCTTTAGGCCTCTAGCATTTGTATATGTATGACTAGTATATATTGTCACGTTTAGGACTGCTTTTGATATATTTGATTACCCGGCCTTGTTGTAAACTGGAGAGAATGTATCTCCTTATTTTGGTTGGCCGGAGGTCATTGCTAGTGTTGATGAACTCTGGATTATATGGTTGAAAACTATTTAGATGGGCTGATCTTGATGTATGTGTTACCCCGGGCCGGAGGCTCGGAGGCCCAGTGGATATGAATGGATTATTTTAGTTGCATGCAACGTCTTAACGTTGACCCGAGCTTGAAAGTCAATTTCTAAAAATATGAAATTTTCCTTCTACTATGGTAGCTCGTTTTAACAGCTCTCCTTTTCTACCATAGTAGAGGTTTTATGATGGGTTAAAATGTCTTGAGGTAGAGGGTTTTTACACATTCTAGTTATTTAATAATATTCAAAAATTCTCGATGAAGCCTCATGACTTGATTAGAAATTTGTTAAAAATGTAG